CTTGGCCATCAGGAGTCGATTTACTTTCACTTATGAACAGAATGTTACAAAGAAACGTCAGCTCTAAGGATGAAAAATGATTTCTCCTAGAAGTTTTAATGAAAATCAAACTTGACTCTTAAATCAAGAAACGATAACTCCTGCACAGCCCTCTTGCACTACCTCCCTCTAATTTTCTAAAAATAAAGAATCTGTGGAAGTCTGAAGTTTTACACGAAGCAACTACTTCAGATGGGCCCTCTCGGATCCAGCACTCGTCAGAATTCCTCTTGGAAAGCTGAGTAGGTCAAGAACGCCTAAGATAACCCGGTTTCTATTTAAAACACCCTGATCACTCGGTAACGTGGAAGGAGAGAGAGGAAGGTTATTTAAAAGGATTACTCAAAACGCAGACGTGGCCAGCAGGCGAGCCTCCCCGGGAGCCTCGCTCGCGGCGCAGGCGCAGGTAACTGCGGTCAGCACAGAGGCGGCGAGAGTCAGAAACCCCTCCAGGAGGGGCAGCTTTCGGGCACCCAAAGGAGGGTGGGGGTTTTTTGCAGCCGAACTCGACTCCAGAGAATCCGGGTAAGTAGCCGTCCTCACTGCGGACAGTCCCGTCCCTGACCCACCCAGTGTTTACTGATCGCCCACGGCTGCCCCTCCGGGCCGACCACCGCCGTCAGGCCAGAAACGCTGCCCTGCGTCGCGTGGCGATTCGGGCCCCGCTGGGGCCGTCGCACCGCGTTCCTAAGGCTGGCGTCCCCGGCGATGTCCGAGGGCAGTGAGGGCCGGGGCGGGGCCGCCCGAGACCGCCCTCCCGCCGCCCACCTTTGGTAGGGCCTTTCCGGCTGAGCACGGCCTGCTGCTCCTCGGTGATGTTCAGCCGCCGCACCACGTCGGCCAGGGCCGACTTCAGCAGCTGGATGTCGTCCTCCTGCATCTGGACCCGCTGCTCCAGGGAGGCGATGCGGTCCGTCACCTCCATGCTGCTGGCCGCGGACGCGCTGTCATCTGAAGCCAAGGAAAGGGACAAGTGAGTGACGTGCTCCCCAGAGAAGGCAGCCCAACAGACACCCCAGCACGTTGCCGTAACGAAATAACGAAAAACCAAGAGAACCACGCGGAACCACACGGGCCTCACTGCAGAGACTCATCCTACCAGTCCTCCCTCCTCCGTGCTAGTGCCGCTCATTACGTATTTTTTAATCCTTACCTGAGAATGTTTATTAATTTTTGGAGAGAAAGGAGGAGAGAAAGAAAGAGAAACATCGATGTGGGAAACACCTTACTTATCTCGTCCATAATATCAGAGAGCCTGGGAGGTACAGGGAGTGTTAGAATCCATTTCAACTTCCCACACGCGCCGAAGCCACCGCGTGGTCTCCCAGCTTTTGCTCCAGCGATGCACAGGCAGGTCCGGTAGTCAGGAGCCACACCACCCACCCGGCAAGGACCGGCCAGGCTGACNGCGCCGAAGCCACCGCGTGGTCTCCCAGCTTTTGCTCCAGCGATGCACAGGCAGGTCCGGTAGTCAGGAGCCACACCACCCACCCGGCAAGACTTGCAAGGACCGGCCAGGCTGAGCGAGCAGGGCGATGGTCGCCTCTGTCCGGTCAGCATGCCCGTATGGCCACGGCGACCCCATTTCCTCGTTCAGAATCGCCGACGCCCAGTTCCCCAGGGGCGCCAGGCCCCGCGTGACCGTCCTCGCCTTGGCACGTTTCTCAGCCAGCTTTCCCACGACCGNTTCAGAATCGCCGACGCCCAGTTCCCCAGGGGCGCCAGGCCCCGCGTGACTGTCCTGGCCTCTCTCTCCACGCACCACGCGGTGGCCATGCTGGCCCCTCGCCCGCCCCAGGGCTTCTGTACCTGCTGCCGCCTTGGCTTGGCACGTTTCTCAGCCAGCTTTCCCACGACCGAAGTCCTCCGTTCTTGACATCTCAGCCCAAGTGGGAGCCCTTCAGGGCGCCTTCCTTCCTAACAGCCTTACCGAACGCGGCCACTTGCGACACCTCAGCCTCGTTTCTCTCCTCACAGCATCGCGGTGACCTGCGGTCCTCGCGCGTCTGCTCACCGCCTAGTCTCCCAGCTAAGTGGGAGCATCATGGAGTCGCCCTGCCCCCCGGTAGGAGGCCCTCTCGGGGAGCACCCCTGCGGAAAGCACGTATTGAACCTGGAGACGCACAAAACTACTCCCGAAGGTTCTGGAGAGCGGGCACAGCAGCACAGAGGCCCTGGCGGGCGTCTACACACGCTTGATGGAGGCTGATGGACCGCGATACACGTTAACCCCCTTTTCGGTGGCCTCTGGCCAGAGCTACGCGGTGCACATGATGTACGTGAGGGTCCATGTGGAAAACCCTGGCATCGTTATGTCCTAAGAAAACCTAGGTGAAGTCCAAAAACAGTGAACACCGAAGACAGTGGGGAAGTCCCCCACACTGTCTATTCACATACGCGTTCACACGGACGCGGGCGCTCCAGCTAACTAGAAAGATCTGGGCTGAGGCTGGAGCTGCAGCCCCGGACGCAGAGCCTGCAGTTCAAGCCCAACGAGAAAGGTCCCGGCCAAGACGCAGGAAACGGCGCTCACCCGAGAAAACCCCACGGTCTCCAGCTTTGTCACGTCCCAGGTGCAACCCACGATTACCCGGAACACGGGAAACGGAACACGGTCTCGAGAGGAGAAAATGACCAAAACCCAAAAGGAACGAAACAGCGGAGCTGAAAAGCCCTCATCGGCGTTTACGCGAACACTTTGCTGAAGCACAGACGGGCACCTGGACAGACGTCCTGCCGTTAGCCCCTCGGGAAATGCAAACTAAACCCACGACGAGATATCGCTACACACCTGCTGCAATGGCTCAGACACGAAATAGGGACCAAACCAAACGCAGACAACATAGGGCGAATGGAGCTCTGCTGCACTGCCGGTGGCCACCTGAAACGGTACAGGTGTCCCGGAAACCAGTTTTGCTTTCTTATCAAGTTAAACAGATACTTACCGTGGGGCCTGGCAATCCCTAGGTACTGCTCCTAGAGAAACAGACACTCGCGTTACGGCGGTTCCATTCATACTTGGTAAAGGTGGGAAACAACTCACGTGTTGCTCCAATTGGTGAATGGATCGACTGTGGTACGTCCATACAGTGGAGTACTACACGGTGCTAAAAAGGAGCGATCGAGCCTGGCCGGGCGTGGCTCAGCAGTTGAGCATCAACCTAGGATCCAGGCGATCGGGGTTCGATTCCTGGCCAGGGCACATGCCCGTGTTGTGGGCTGGATCCCCGGTCTGGGGCGTGTAGGAGGCAGCTGATCAGTGATTATCATCATTGATTTCTCTCTCTTCTCCTTTCCTCTCTGGAATCAATAAAGATACATTTAAAAAAAAAAAAAGACATGTATGATCTGAACATTTTTTTAAAAAAGGAGCGATCTNTCTCTCTCTTCTCCTTTCCTCTCTGGAATCAATAAAGATACATTTAAAAAAAAAAAAAAAGACATGCATGATCTGAACATTTTTTTAAAAAAGGAGCGATCTATGGATACGCCCAACAATTTGGACGGCTNTCTCTCTCTTCTCCTTTCCTCTCTGGAATCAATAAAGATACATTTAAAAAAAAAAAAAGACATGTATGATCTGAACATTTTTTTAAAAAAGGAGCGATCTATGGATACGCCCAACAATTTGGACAGCTCTCAGAGGCACGATGCTGAGCAAGGGAAGCCAGTCTCGTAAGGTTACACACTGTATGGTTCCATTTATGAGATTTTCCACAGGACAGAGCTCGTGAAGGAGACGAGATCAGTGGTTGCCAAGGGCTGGGAGACGGGCACAGCACAGGGGAGTTTGGGGAGGTTACAGAAATGTTCTGTGTCCCAATGGTAGTGGGAGTTACATACAACTATACTGTGTTAAAAATACAAAGAACTGTCTCAAAAGAGGAATTTTGTTGAATGTTAACCTAAAAAATAAAATAGCTTTTTAACGCCCTGTTGGGTTCCTATCAAAAAAGTGGAGCTGCCACAGCCTAAGGTCAGAATCTAAAGGAAGGTCTGAGTGCTGACCGCCCACCACCCACACCCCTTTTGTGTGGTTATTGTTACTGTAAAACTTTTCCTTGGGCCTTTTTTAAAAACAAGTATCTCTATTGATTTCAGAGAGAGGGAGGGAGAGGGAGAGAGAGAGAAACATCCATGATGAGAGAGTCACTGATCGGCTGCCTCCTGCACGCCCCCGACTGGGGATCGAGCCCACAACCCGGGCATGTGCCCCGACCGGGAGTCGAACCCCGATCACCTGGATCCCAGGTCGATGCTCAACCGCTGGCTGAGCCACGCCCGGCCGGGCTCGGCCTTTCTCCCTGACACTGTAACTACTTTTTAAAAGGTGCCATCAGCTTCTGCTTCCAGCCAACACAGTAACAGCTGTCGTACCTGAAACAGCTAAAACGAACAGACAAAATGCATAACACGGACAGGGAGGGACAGCGATCGCTCAGAGGTGGTGAGTGGAAGAGGGGACCCGCGGCAGCTCCCAGGAAGCGATGCAGGAGGGGGATCCCCTCAGCGGAGGAGACAGAGCTGGAAGCCCAGGAGGGCCGCCAGGACTGGGCTCCGAGGCAGGGTACTGGAGAGGAGGGGCCGCAGACGGAGAGCGCCTGGGAAACGGCCTTCAGCTGAGAACCGGCGGCACTGACGTGGGAGGGACTCCCCAGGCTGGGGAACAACTATCCAGAGAGAACAGGACTGACGCGAGGGCTCACACGGCGCTGGGACGAGTTCCTGTCCCTGTCAGCGGAGGGGACCCACGGAGCCCACAGGTGCTGGGGAGCTTGGGCCTCTCACCCGAGGCCGAGCGCCGCTCCGGCCCCCTAGCAAAGCTGCTTCCCAGAGACTCGGCCACATCCCAGGACAAAGCTCAGGAGTGTTTACAGGGAGGTAAAATAATCCAGCTCCCAACAAGGCAAAGTTCACAACGTCTGGCATCCCATAAGAAGGGCCAGGCAGGGAAATGTGGCTCAATCAGGAAGACAACCAACCTAGCAAAACCAACCCAGAAATGACATGATGCGATTACTAGACAAGGAAAATTAAACATTATAACTGTGTCATGTTAAAGAAGCCTGAGGAAAGGCCGACTATGTTAGGTAGAGGCATGTGAAAGTATGTGTGTGTACATCTATATATAATGTTGTATATTTTATATTATACATTATATACTTATATAATACGTAAATTATATTACCTATTATCTACTTATATTACATATAGTTATATTACATATTAACATGTGTTCTGTTTTATACTATTATATATTACATATTTATATTATACATTATATATTTACATTATATGTAATATAATACTTTTATGTCATTATGTATTTACATTATGTGANATGTTAGGTAGAGGCATGTGAAAGTATGTGTGTGTACATCTATATATAATATTATACATTTTATATTACACATTATATACTTATATAATACGTAAATTGTACTACCTATTATCTATTTATATTACATATTGTTATATTACATATTAACATGTGTTCTGATTTATACTATTATATATTACATATTTATATTATACATTATATATCTACATTATATGTAATATATAATACTTTTATGTCATNATATTAACATGTGTTCTGTTTTATACTATTATATATTACATATTTATATTATACATTATATATTTACATTATATGTAATATAATACTTTTATGTCATTATGTATTTACATTATGTGATGTGTATTTTATATATTTACATTTTTATATTACATATACTTTAAAATCAGGCTTCTAGGAAACTACAGAGGACTGGAAGAGATGTTTAACAGGGTCAGTCACGAGGGAATTGTAAATCCGAGTCGCAAAGAGACGCCCCTCACAATCCCAGGATGGCTCCAGTCGGCAAGGCTGAAAACGGCCAACTCGGGTGCATCGTGAGAAACCACCTCACACCCTGCCGGGCGGGACGCGAAAGGGCGCAGCCACGG